TTGCTTCTTCCTCAGCATTTAAACATTTTAAAGAAAGCATAATAACATACAGTATCAAGATTCTCTGTGTATTTTTCATCTTTATATGGCTTTATTTTAACCTCTATTTCTTTTATTTTTACTTTTAACTTTTGGCTTTGAGACAGGTTCTCTGTGTATCTTTGTCCTGGAACTTCCTCTGTAGACCAGGTTGTCCTTGAACTCACAGAAATCTATTTGTCTCTGACTCCCAGGCAAATCCTACTGGCATGTGCCGCCACAACCGACTACTCTCTTTCTTTATTTTTTTTTTTACTTTGAGAACTTTAATCTTTAGCCTGTATATATTTTTAATACACTGTAAACCATTTAGAGATTTTCTTCCTGTTTGAATATCTCTTTACTGTATATGTCTCTTTTTCTGATCATGTGGATCTTTAATTTGCTAAGAAATATGAAGAAGATTAAAGCCATGACTTTGATGACTAGATCCAGCCTGTTCCTTAGCTTTATGAAATTCCACCCTCATGGTAGAATCATGTTTTTTTGCCACAACTCTATGGCATTTCAAAGTCCTTGTCAGCAAGCAAGCTGCAACGGTGTGTCCATAAACAACACTCAAAAGCTCCTATGGCATTTCAAGGTGCTTGCCAGGAAGCAGGCTGCAACAGTGTGTCCATAAACAATACTCAAAAGCTCCATAGTTGGGACTGGCTGCTTGATAGAGTCAGAGTTTTCCCTGGCAGGATGATCCAGAAAGCCGGCATTTTAAAACAACGCAGCTTTTTTCCTGCTATGGTTGAAAACTGAAATGCTTTACTCTAGTCTTTATCAAGCTTTCTCAGGCTTTCTGTTGATGCAATTATCCACGTGGGCACCATTCTGTAACTCTACTTCCTGTCTGGTTTTCCCACCTATACTTCCTGCCTGGCCAATCAGCGTTTATTTAAAACATGATTGACAGAATGCAGACAATTCTCCTGCACCAGATTATTAATAGTTGCGTTGCTTTTAAGTAAATCATCCAAATATCCACACTCTCAGGTATTTGAAGAATAAAAAAAAAAGCCAACAGCCATAGAGCCTAAGACCTCCCCAGCCAATAGCTGTTTTGTTGTTGCTGTTGTTTGTTTGTTTGTTTTTAAGCAGGTTTTCAGTCCCAGCCATAAATGCCCTCCTATAAATCAGGTCTCAAATCCAGTCAGAAAGTGGTTTGTCATCCTGTAATAGTTAAGTCACTATGGTCAAGTGGGAACACCACCCCTGGTTCTTACCCAGCTCTGGGTAAGATCACTGATCCCTTTTCTCTCCCAGAAGCCTACGTAGTGTCTTCTGGCCAGCGAAGAGGAAGCTTCCTGATCAGTTTGACACTGGTTTTCTGCTTCCTATAGCCAAAGTGTGGGGACTTCCCTGAAAATTTTAGCTTCTTTCCTGTTGCTGTGATAAAGCACTGATCAAAGCCAATAGGGGTTAGGGGTGGGTTTATACAGCTTACAATTCCACATTACAGTCTATCATTGTGGGAAGCAAAGTCGATGCAGCCTTGGTGTCCTGAACAAGAATGCTGAGCTACACCCCAGGCTGGTATGCAGGAGTACCATAAAACATACTTTATAGAAATGAGATTAGTGCATGAATGCTTCCCTCCTTCAGAATGGACCAGGTTATAACAGCAACTCTTAAAACACAGTTTAGATGATGGATATGAATAACTTTGAGTACCATGAAGCCAACCATCATTACCTAGAGTGTTTAGTCTGGGCTGGGTCATGAATCCTCACACACCTGAGAGTATGGATGTGCTACTCCATCTATTTGAAAACAACACAATCGTTAATAATCTATCTCCTTATCCATTTGCCAACTCAGTGAATTTCTGACTGGGCATTTTAGACCTCTTTGCTTTCTGCACCTGGAGAGTGTAGAGAGCTCGAGTCTCAGGTCTCCCTTGTGCCAGAAAAGCAATTGTCTTGGTGCTAACATAGAAACTTGCTTTTAACATGTGAAAAATTTCTGTTTCAGTTTGCATCCAGTTGAATAAAAACATCCTAAAGCCTCAAACTTACTTCTTGCTTATTAAAAAAAAAGAAAATCTACTATGGGCAGCAATGCTCTGGACCTTATTTTTATCTGTCTTCTTTCCCCGTCAACATGTAATTTAATGTAGCAGGTACTGCTGAAAGCTGCAGCTTTCACCGACTGTAACAGCCAAAAGTGTGCTGATTTGAGCAATGGGGAAAGGCCTTTAGAGGAGCTGGCATCTCGCCATCGAATCTACGGTTTGGAAGCACCCTCAGAATTAATCCTCACTTCACTTTCATTCATTAGGCAGGACTGCCAAACTGGTGTTCTTCTGCTGAGGCTAATCGCTCGATGAAAGCCAGGGATAAAACCGCAACCTGGGGAAATAATGAAAGAATAGAAGAAAATATATGCTTTCCTGGTTTGCAGTTTTTCAATTTTCTCAGCTGGCCTGCCCAACTTATAATTGGTTCATCACTCACAGCTGCTGAATGGTGGAGACTGATTGGGATGACAGAAAACCGTGAATAAAGGGACCAAGGAGAGCACTGTCTCTGTCTTAGCCCCCTCTAAACCTAAAATCTGAAGTTGACAAAAATAAGAGAGGGGGACATCACAGAATGTGGTCTCCACCAACTCTGAGTTTCTTTTCTTAGACGTGCAAACAGAGCTATCCCCCAAATCAGAATCATTAGACTAATGTTACTGTCCCTATTATCACAAGCCTTTAATGTTAACTAAACTAAAATCTGTTGTCTAGCATAATTACTCTGAATTTTGGCACTATTTAGTCTATTTGCAGAATACCTTAAGAATTAAAGCCAAATGAGAATATGAGCAAAGAGATCAAGACCATGATGAAACAGTCTACCTGAAATAAGGGAAGTTCATCAACTCCAGCCACCGTGGGAAGGAACAAGCATAGAACCAAACTAGTCCCTCTGAATGTGGTCGACAGTTGCATGGTTGGGGCAGACTGTGGGGCCACTGGTAGTGGCATCAGGATTTATCCCTACTGTCTTTTTGGGAACCTATTCTCTTTGGATGGATACCTTGATCAGCCTATAAATAGTAGGAAGGGCCTTAGCCCTTCCCCAAAGCAATGTCCCTTACCCTCTCTGAGGATTGATGGGGGAGGGGTAGGAGAGTATGTGGAGGGAATGGGAGGAGGGGAGGGAGTAGGAACTTAGATTGGTGTGTATAATGAAAAAATATAGTTTTTCATTTTAAAATAAATAAATAAATAAAGGCAACAACTAAAAAGAAAAAACCAAACCACACTATGTTAACACTTTGAAATGGGCAAAGTTACAAATAAATGGAGCTCAACCCCCAGAAAAGGAAAGAATTAAAGCCAAGAAAATAAGAAAAATGAGAGCGTTAACTAGACACTGTCTTAAATAATAAAGCAGTAGCATATTATCTTCCATTGGGAGGGACCTAATGATATAGACATGTATGACATGCAAGCCACTCTTGTACCAATGAGCATATTATTCCAGACCAGTCATTACTGTAACTCTCAGGAGTCCTGACTAGGTAATACTGGTAATTGCTTCTCCACACATATCTGTCAGTATTTTGAAAACTAGCTGGCAGGGTAGCTTCTAAGAGATACTAGTTTGATTTCTCCATGTTTCCAGAGTTCTTCTTACACTTAATGTAACCCATTTGCCCTCCTTGGGTGCTACTAAGGTGGTATGTGTGAAATGTAGTTATACTTGATTTCCTGTGGGTCAGTGAGACTTTTGTGCCTCATTAGCCTCTATGAATAAATACAAAAACCTTGTCCAGTCTCTTGTTGATATGAGCAGGGCCATTTTCTGTTAGTTTGTAAATGTCTCTAATTCTTAAGGTTGAGCCCATGGGACTAGACTCCATCAATGGTAAGGAGTTCAGTCTGTACACATATCTTTCCTTTCCTTCAGAACAACTCTAAGATCATTTTTAATGAGTCAATATTTGTCTTCAGAGAACAAATGTATTGTTTTAAAAGCTGTTATTAGAATCTTCTCACTTGAATTAAAATGAAGGAAAACAAATTACATATCACTCATCCTGCATTATGCAACTTATCAGTAATTAGCAACACACAACACAGCACACAGCTCAAAACCCTCAAAATGAATGCTAATTCAAGGATGAAAAACTTAGTAAAATAATCGTATTGCAGATTCTGTGATAATCACACATTTTTTTTGTTTGTTTTCTAAGTCAGTGAGGGCTGAGACCATAGGAAAGTTATATTTTGAATTGCATTTACCTTTAATTTCTCACTATAGATGAAATAAATACTTTGTAAATATTGAAAGAGATTGTAGCATTGAGATGATATTGAGATGTGTAGCATGAATCCTGATTGTTCTTAATAATAAAAACCCAGGGTTGGCTATTGGGGATGAAAGTTTAATGATCAGCAAAGCAGAGCAGTCAGTCACTAGACAATTCTTACCTTTACCAATGCTCAGACCACAGGAGCTATACTGTTTTTACAAATCCTCAGAATACATGCTCAGACTGAATCTTCAGACTACATCCTCAGATGGTATATAGATATGATAGGATAAGGGTACAGATTATTGAATCTACTCTGAGAAGAAAAAAAAGAGAGGATATAGATATGATAAGATAAAAAAGTAGGTTATTGAATCTAGTTTTAAAAACCAACTACTGGTTTTAAATATTTTATATTGGATTGACTTTTGTATATTGTACACACATTTTGTATATTGATAAAAATTTGAGATTAATTTTGTTAGGCATATTGTACATACATTTCTACTCTTGTTCAAAATATTGTACCAATACAGCTCACTTAACAATATAATGTAAATTTCTAGTTCTTTTTTTTTTTGCCTTTGAATGAGTTGGTTTAATTCAAAGTGATACAGAATTCAAAGTACAACAAAGACGAAACAGCAGGCTCTGGCAGGATTCCAGACTGGGTTCACTTTCAATTCACAGCTGAGGTAGGAACTGCTGAACACTAGAGACAATGAGCCATTTGTATTATTTATTTTATTATTATTTGTTTTTTTTACAAAAGTTTATTACAATGTACAACAGGCTCCAGGATAACACTTCATTCTAACTGTAGGTGGCAATGATGTTATAGTAGGGAATCCAGATGTTTAACAGGCTCCAGGATAACACTTCATTCTAGCTGTAGATGGCAAAGATGTTATGGCAGGGAATCCAGATGTTTAAATAGGAATGGAAGAGGGTCACCATCATCTCAGATATGAGGAACAGCTTACTTTTTGCCAGATTTCTTAATTCCACCTGTGGCCAGGGGTCCCTTCCCCGCGGCCTTGGCTTTTAGCTCCTCGAGTTTCTTCTGCTCCTCTTTTTGTTTCTGCTTGAAAGCCTTATCTTCCTCGTCCATTTCCTTGGCCTGCTTCTTGGGCTGTTTCAGGGGCTTCTTTTTGCCACCTTCCCGGCCCGACATGGTGCCTCCAAACACCCCCTTCTCCAGACCCTCAATTTCTAGTTCTTGAAAGTTATTATTACCAACCGTTTAGGATAATAAGAAAATGCAAGTAAGTGATTAGTCACCTATTACAATTAAATTTGTAGTCATATTAGGTATGTTTTCAAGGTCAGAGGTATATTTTAGATGGACAGATCTTCAAACACTTCAAATATTTACAGAATATGGTATTTAAGTGTTTTAATAACATACAGTTCTTTTTATAACAATGAGACATGTCTGCTACTGGCAGCACCAATCTACATTGGAGAAGATGATGGACATTAAAGAAACTTCACATGGAGTTTACTTTCTTTGGGCCAAAATTAAGCCATTTGCTTCAGCCTTGGCTGCTGATGGTATGCTGTCCAAATTGGACAAGCAGGACACAAAAGAGAATGACTACCAAACCTTGCCAAGACAAAGCATGAAAGTCCTTCAAAAATCCTGCTTCACAGAAAAGTCTGTCAAATATTCTAGGTCTGTAGGCAGATTCCCCAACATTGCAAAGGAACCTTGGATGACTGTCCAGATGACCATCTTTTTTTCTTCATTTCTCACATTTTTTGGAAGTCGCTTGCTTGTACTTCCTGCTTAATCAATTACTATTATTTCTTTCTTGGGTCTCTGAGGGAGTTGAAGATTAGATAGTTATAGTTTTCATTGTTTACCAGACTCAGAAAAGAAACTCTCTAAAAGGGCATAAAGTATATAAGGTTGGGGGATATCAAAAGATAGTTTTGGATGATAATGCAAGTTATGATAGAAAGTGAATTAGGTATAAGACTTTGGACTCACCAGGATAGGATAGAAATGGAGAATTTTCTCTGAATTTGTCAAATGTAAATGGATTAGACACTGTTGATATATTTATTGCCTGTGTATATTATACTTATTGCATATAATTTTTCTTATATTAGTCATAGCCTTCTTTTTATTTAAACAAAAAGGGGAAATGAAGTGATATTTTGTTTGTAATCTAACAAATAAGGTTTGCCTGTAAATCAGAGTGCAGATAAGCCACCATTAGTCATAGATTCAAGGCAGTGGTGGTACACACATTTAATCCCACCACTTATGAGACATAGACAGACAGGTCTCTGTGAGTTCAATGCAACCCTGGGCTGCACAAAATTGATCCAGTCTAAAAGAGAAAAAGAGTCAGTTAGTGGTGGTTCACACCTTTAATCCCAGTACTTGGGAGTCACAAGCCTTTAATCCCAGCACTAGGGAGGTGGAGAAAGAAATGATATGGCTGGGTGGAGAGACAAATAGAAGGTGGGAGGAGACAGGAACTCAGATGCAGTCTGAGGATTCAGTCTGAGCATGCAGTCTGAGTATTTGTAGAGGCAGAATCACCCCTTTGGTTTGAACACTGGTAGAGGTAAGAATTCTCCAGTGGCTGACTGTTCTGCTTCTCTGATCCGTCAGCCTTTTGCCCTGATAGCTGATTCCGGGTTTTTATTATTAAGAACAATTAGAATCTGTGCTACAGAGATGTATTAGAAGAACATGAAATACTATGCACTTGTCACTGTTTCCTATGAGTGCATTAATAAACCATTCATCTCTGTATACTTAACTTTAAGATGTACTCTAAAGAAAATGCAAATATTAGCCAATATAACCCATAACTCAAGGGATCTGAGCACTTCTTTTTAATCAATGTCTCCAAAGAGACCAGAATGAGTGTCTCTTTTCATAGGGGATGAGATCTTGTTCATACACAATGAATTCAACTTTATAGATTCTGTATCTCTAAGCATTTAGAAAGTGAGACTACATACACAACTGTTTTATGTGTACATGGTATTTAAAAAAAGAAAGAAAATAAAGCCAGTTTTAGAGTTTAGTGGAACTAATGTCAAAAAAACAGAACCAAATGTGTGTTTTCAATAAATTCAATAGTTTGGTGAATCTTCAAGGGCCAAGAAATGGAATTTGACGATGGGACTCTATAGTGGCAACATGGCTAATTGATTTAAAGTTATTATTTCAATTATGCATTGAAAGAAATTTTTGCTGTTGAAGCAAATTTTCTCTCCACACTGTTTTCATGAAACAAAATAACGAGTCCAAGCTGGCCAAGGTCCAATTACAATTTTGAGGGAACAAAATGTGTTGAAATTCCTTTAGTAGTTTATAATCGTATTTTTCCCATTTATAAGAATTTGTCTCTATTAAGGGGGTTTTAGAGGTGTTAAACACATGAGGCAGCCATAGTTTTAGAGAATAAAGAACACAAGCATCTGAAGCTGTGTCTTCAAGCAATTATTACTTTCTGTAGATAAACTAACTCATTCTCTATCATTTGTCTATCTGCCATCTACCTATATCTATCTACCTATGATCTGTGTCAATCATCTATCTACCTATTCATCATTTAACCTTCTATCAATTTTTATCTAGTCATCTAACTACCTACCTCTAACCCTCTCTGTGTGTCTTTCTCTACCCCATCATGTGTGTGCTTTGTGTTGGTGTGTGTGTGTGTTGGGGTGTGTGTGTATGTGCTGTGTGTTGAGGGTCTGTGTGCACATACCTGTATGCTGTGTGTTTGGGTTGTGTGTGTATGTATGTGTGTGCTGTGTGTTGGTGTGTGTATGTGTCTGTGTGTGTCTGTATGTGTATAATCAATCAGACAAAGTCAATATGACAGTGTTAGAGTAGATTTTTCTTGGATGACTCTTTTAGAAATGTATATTATTCATCAAAATACAATTTTAATTTAATAGTATCTGATAAAAGCAGTATCATTTAGTTCTGATAAACAAAAGATGTGAATTACTTGCTTTACATTTATTAATTTTGCATACTGCCATATACAAATCTGTTACAACAAAATGAATCTCCTCATAGTGCCATGTACACACTGAACTTTCCAGCCTCATAACATTGCTCCCCACATTCCTCTACTCTCTTCTGTTACTTTAATTCTGTTTCTGCCTGGAGGCCTGGTTCTAGCCCCATCCCTTCTGGTAAATTTTTCTCCTTTCCTTTACCCAAAAGAACTTCTATATAAGAACATCTTTCCTGCCAACACCCTCAGAAGCAAGGCTCCTGCCATATACACCCTACATACTTAAAAGTACCTTTTAAAAGATGACATGATGCCAGACAGTGATGGCACACACCTTTAATCCCAGCACTTGGAAGGCAGAGGCAAGGGGTCTCTGTGAGTTCCAGGTGAGCCAGGTCTATAGATCAAGTTCCAGGACAGCTAAGACTACCCAAAGAAGCCCTGTCTCAAAAAAAATTGACATGATGTTACCTATACATGTTTTTTTTTTCTCAAGTTGTTTAGTTCACTAATTTAAAAAAGGAGTGAAGGACTGAAGAGAGGGCTCAGTGGTGTACAGCACTTGGTGCTTTGGTAGACAACTGAACTCAATACCCAAATCTACATTGTATCTCAGAACTATAAACAATTCCAGTTCCATGGTAACTCTACTCCCTACTAGTGATAATGGGCACAAGGCATGTATGTAATACACATATATACACACCCAGTAAGACACTAATACATTTAAAGTGAAGTAAATATATCTAAAAATTTTTGGTTTATTTTATTGTTTATTGATTACATTGAGCTATTTATTTTTTATTGATACGCTCCCTGCCTCTCCTCTCCCCTTGAAACCTCTCCCATGGTCCCCATGCTGCCAATTTACTCAGGAGATCTTATCTTTTACTACTTCCCATGTAGATTAGATCCATCTATGTCTCTCTTAGTGTCCTCATTGTAGTCTAGGTTCTCTGAGATTGTGATTTGTGGGCTGGATTTCTTTGATTTATGTTTAAAAGCTACTTATGAGTGAGTACCTATGATAATTGTCTTTCTGGGTCTGGGTTATCTCACTCAATATGATGTTTTCTAGTCCCATCCATTTGCCTTCAAATATCAAGATGTCATTATTTTTTCTGCTACATAGTGCTCCATTGTGTAAATGCACCACATTTTCCTTATCTATTCTTTGGTCAGGGGCATTTGAGTTGTTTCCAGGTTCTGGCTATGACAAATAATGCTGCTATGAACATAGTTGAACACATGTCCTTGTGACACGATTGAACATCCTTTGGATATATACCCAAAGGTAGTATTGCTGGGTCTTGAGGAAAGTTGTTTCCTAATTTTCTGAGAAGTCACCACACTGATATTCAAAGGAGTTGTACCAGCTTGCACTTCCACCAGCAATGCAGAAGTGTTCGCTTTACCCCACAACCTCTCCAGCATAAGTTGTCATCAGTGTTTTTAATCTTGGCCATTCTTACAGGTGTAAGATGGAATCTCAGAGTTGTTTTGATTTGCATTTCTCTGATGACTAAGGATGTTGAGCATTTCCTTAAGTGTCTTTCAGCCATTTTAAATTCCTCTATTGAGAGTTCTCTGTTTAGGTCTGTACTCCATTTTTTATTAGATTATTTGTTCTTTTGATGACCAATTTCTTGAGTTCTTTGTATAGTTTGGAGATCAGACCTCTGTCTGATGTGGGGTTAGTGAAGATCTTTTCCCATTCTGTAGGCTGTTGTTTTGTCATGTTGACCATGTCCTTTCTTTGCTTTACAGAAGCTTTTCAGCTTCAGGAGGTCCAATTTATTGATTGTTTTTCTCAGTGTCTGTTCTACTGGGGTAATATTTAGGAAGTGGTCTACTGTGCCAATGCATTCAAGTATACTTCCCACTTTCTCTTCTACAATGTTCAGTGTGACTGGCTTTATGTTGAGGTCTTTGATCCATTTGAAAATCAGTTTTGTGCATAGTAATAGTTAAGAATCTATTTTCATTTTTCTATATATTGATATCCAGTTATGTCAGCACCATTTGTTAAATATGCTTTCTTTTTCCATTTGATTTTTGTTTTGCTTCTTTGTCAAAAATCAGGTGTTCAAAGATGTGTGGATTAATATCCGGGTCTTCGATTAGATTCCATTGGTTCTTCTATCTGTTTTTGCGCCAATACCTGGCTATTTTTAGTGCTATAGATCTGTAGTAGAGTTTGA